TATTGTATATAGTTATTGTACTTATTGTATATATTTTTTCCTTATATTGCTTTTTTCTTTTTATTAGAACAAAAGGGGAAAGGTGGTGATACTTTATTTGTGCTGAAATGTGATTTTTTATTTTTATGTTAATAAATAAAGTTGCCTGGAGATCAGAGGTCAGCAAGCCATAAACAGAAGTCAGGTGGTGGTAGCCCACACCCTTAATCCGATCACATGGCAGGCAGAGTCTCTGTGTGGTCAAGGACACAGCCAAGCGTGGTTACACATGCCTTTAATCCCAGTACCAACCATAGAGACCTGGAGGTCTGTATAGACAGGCAGTGATGAGGAAGTCATGTGGCTGGGCTTAGAGCCAAGGAGAAGGCAGAAGAGGAAGGCAATAAAAGCACAGGTCAGACAGGAGGAAACTGTGCAAGCTACTTCGTGGTGGTAAGGTAAGGCTAGTCCTCGCTATTCGCTCTGATCTCTTCGGCTATTGCCTCTGTATTTGGTTCTGTGTTTCTTATTTAATAAGACTGTTTAGAAATTCGTCTACAGAGAACTGTTTTATTATTATTATTATTATTATTATTATTGTTATTGTTATTGTTATTGTTATTTATACAGGGCTCTCCCTGCATATACACCTGCAGACCAGAAGAGGGCACCAGATCTCATTACAGATGGTTGTGAGCCACCATGTGGTAGCTGGGAATTGAACTCAGGACCTCTGGAAGAGCAGGCAGTGCTCTTAACCACTGAGCCATCTCTCTAGCCTGAGAACAGTTCCTCACGCCGCAGCATCAGGGGGGCAGAGAAGGCTGCAGGGGAAGAGACTGTGAAAAGGGTACATTCGGAAGGCTCTGGTTCCTTTTGCAATGGAACGGTGTAACAGAAAATATAAAATCCTGAAGCTATGCAAGGTAAAGTCTGCTTCTGAAGCCATTTATTTTCTTCAGGCACGTCCTCTCTATGGAGAGTGTAAAATGGGGGTTAGAATGTGTTTATACATTAGCCATATTAGAAACAGTCTCATTCAAATCCTTTCTGGGCTCAGATCTAAACATAAATGACAGAACTTTATTCTGCTTGAAGTTCATCAAGCACTTTGAATATCTTTTGCCCTTGGGGCAGTGAATTCTAACAGTTTACTACCCATACAGATAACCTGACATTTATTTACGAATTTAGAAACAGGCTCTTGTTAAGCTGGCTTGAAGATTCTGTGTAGCCCAGGATGAATATATGATAAATCCTTTTCTAAATTCGTAAATGAAAGAAGACAAGACAAAGATGGGGGGTGAAAAGATGGCAATTCTTTTGCCTCAGTCTCCCCAAAGCTGGGATCACAGGTGCCCACAATCATATCTGGGTTTCCTTACATTTCTTTATTCTAAAGATCCTTATTTGTGGGGCTGGAGAGATGGCTCAGAGGTTAAGAGCACTGACTGCTCTTCTAGAGGTCCTGAGTTCAATTCCCAGCAACCACATGGTGGCTCACAACCATCTGTAATGAGATCTGGTGTCCTCTTCTGACCTGTAGTCATACATGCTGTATACAAAATAAATAAATAAATCTTTAAAAAAAAAAATCCTTATTTGTAAGTGTGTGTGTGTGTGTGTGTGTGTGTGTGTGTGTGTGTGTGTGTGTGTGTGCAGGTGCCCACAGAGGCTAGAAGAGGGTGGCAGTTCCCCTAGCTTGAGTTATGGGTGGTTATGGGTGTGGGTTCTGGAGGCAGCCAGTGTTCTTAACCACTGAGCCACCACACCAGGCCCTCCTCGCCTTGATCTTGGCTAACAAGTGGCTCTGCGCACGCCTTTAATCCCAGCACTCGGAGGCAGAGGCAGGCGGATCTCTGTGAGTTCAAGGCCAGCCTGGGCTACCAAGTGAGTTCCAGGAAAGGCGCAAAGCTGCACAAGAGAAACCCTGTCTCGAAAAACAAAAAACAAAAAAACAAACAAACAAACAAACAAACAAGTGGCTCTGCCGTGTTTCTTGGAGTACAAGACTTCTACAAAATTCAGCCTGAAGCTCTTCCCGGGTGGAGTCGCTCTGTGCCCACACTTGGCACGGGGCCCTTTCCCTGGGCAGCCCACCCCGAGCACGTCCCACCAACAGTGGGCATGTGCAGACCTGGTGTTCCCACCAAGAGTGGGCACGTGCAGACCTGGTGTTCCCACCAACAGTGGGCACATGCAGACCTGGTGTTCCCACCAACAGTGGGCACGTGCAGACCTGGTGTTCCCACCAACAGTGGGCACATGCAGACCTGGTGCTGGCACTGGAGTCTGGGACATGATTCAGTCTCTGTAGCACTGATCCCACAGGCTCTTCCCAGTCTTACCAATGCTTGCTTTAGAACCTTCTAATGGGTGAAATGCCTGTGTAGGGAAGCATGTCTGGGTCTACACTCATGTCCTTCCGGGGCGGTTTATAACCCTTTACTCAGATTTTCTGTGGGCTTTGACAGGAGCTCTAAAGAATATTATAATTTTGAAATAATTCATTTGAAATAATTCAAGCTGCTCTGCTGTTTCAAAAACAACTTGGACCATCCCTCCCAAATGGCTCCTTGGACCACAGCAATAAATTACTGCACAAAATATTTTAATTGTAGCCCCAGATGTATTAAATATATTCAGAAAGCTGTGTTAGAAGCATTCTCCATCATTAAACAATTTTGGCCTCGAACTTACAGTTCAGCATCCAGCCAAGGTAAGGACCTGTGGGCAGGAACCAATGCAGAGGCCACGGAGAACCCTATTTGCTGTGGGATATTTGTGCACTGTGTGACAATGTATCGCTGTGACTGGTGTATTACAAAGTTGATCGGCCAGTAGATAGGCAGGAGGTATCGGTGGGATTTCCGGGGGAGAAAGGAAGAGGAGGAGAATCTAGGTGCTCGGGAGACACCAGGAGACATGGACAGAAAACAGGATGGGCAGTAGAGAGTCAAGGTAACCGAGCCACGTAAAAGAACATAGATGAAAAGATACAGGTTCATTTAAGTTATAAGAACTAGTTAGGACCAAGCCTAAGCTAAGGCCGAGCTTTCATAATTAACAATAAGTCTCCATGTTGTTTTTTTGTGAGCTGGTGGCCCAAAGAAAAATCCGTTCACACTGCTGGCTTGGTCCTCGTGGCTTGCTCAGTCTGCTTTCTTATAGAACCCGGGGCCAGCAGCCCAGGGGTGGCCCCGCCCACATCAATCGTTAATCAAGATAATGCCCCACACTATGTCCACAGGCCAGTCTGATGGAGGCCGTTCAATGGGGGTTCCTTTTCCCCAGGCGACTCTAGTTTCTATCCCGTTGACAAAAACTAACGGGCGCAGTTTTGAACAAAATGACCACTTTCTGTCTGTGAAAGACACATTTAAAGTACTAGGATCAGAAACTGCAAACGTGGACAAACGGGAGAAGTGACTCTTAGGTGGTGCAGTCGACTGCGCTCAGGTGGATGCCCGGGAGTGGCCACTGTGTAACCGCTGATGACCCTGAGAGGCATTTCAGTTTGCGCGGTCCGTGAAAGCCTCACTGGCTGCCTGCTGCTATGAGGTTTCACTGCCAACTTGAAGGAAATGAACGATTGCCATCTTGGATTTCACCATCAGCTCTTAGAACCGGGACACAGTCAGTGCTAAAATCAGGTCCGTGTAGATCATTATTTAATTACAGTAAATTACAAAATAACATAATTAATCTTAAGTACTTCTCCAAATTGAACTGTCTTGGGGGAAAAGAAACCAAAAACCAAAACACAAAACAAGGCAACATGTATAAGCACATGCAAGAATTTTTAGTTTTTTTTTTTTAATGAAAGTAGCAAACATTGAACCAGAGAAGGAAGCTGAGCCACAGCTTTGGACAACAGGTGAGAATTTGATTTGCACTGGTTTTGTTTTTAAAATAATCTGTAAAGATTCATTTATTTTAGTTTAATGTGCGTAAGTGTTTTGCCTGCATGTACGTCTGTGTTCTACTTATGTGTCTGGCATCCACAGAGGCCAGAGGAGGGCGTCAGATCCCCTGGAACTGGAGTTACAGGTGGTTGTGAGTCACCACGTGGGTGCTGGGAACTGAACCCAGGTCCTCTGCAAGAGCAGCCAATGCTCTTACCTGCTGAACTATCTTTCCAGCTCCTGTTTTTTTTCTTTTTGAAAAATGGCCTTGCTATACATAGTTTAGGCTTGTCTCAACTTTGTAATCCTCCTGCCTCAGCTTCTCCAGCACTTGGGTTATTGGCACGCATCACCATGCCAGAAGTGTCTGATCTTATGTCACAGAGGGTTCTTGTCTACTTGTCCTGTGTCAACTGGTCACTAAAATTGAGAGCATGTTTTTATTTGATTCAAAGGCCATTTTAAAGCTAATTGTTATAACTGTGTTCATTACAGGCTCCTTGGTCCCAAGGGCTGTTGTCTTACTCGTCAGATCACCGACCGCCTGTGCTGGCCCCCTGGCGAGCAGTAAGTGGTTAGTACACAAACATTCACAGACTGGTAGGAGGCAAATGCTCTCTGCTAGAACAATCCCTCCACAGAACGGAGTTTTGTTTTCAAAATATCTACCTAGACCAAAAGGGACAGGTGTCACAGTATATCTGAAATAATTCTGTTTAGGTCAGCTGAGTATAACCATTATTTCATTTCCCTGTCACTTAGATACACATGGCAACAGTTACATACCTAGGCAGATCTGTACAAGGTTGTTTAAATTCTGTCTTCAAAGGGGTTCTTTCTAGAGCAGATCTATATCCCCCAAATCTGCAGAGATTTCTTTTATCTCTAGGCAGATGAATCTATTCTTTTAAGAATTTTATTGCAATATGGTGTGGAGGCCTACACCTGTAATATTGGCCCTTTGGGAGCCTGAGGGAGGAGGACTGTGGATTTGAGGTCAGCCTGGGCAACGCAGTTAAGTCCTTGTTTCAAACACGCAAAAATAAATAACAGCTCATTGAAAAAAAAATTTTTTTATAAACTATTTTTGTTGTTGTTGAGTTGACAAACACTAACCTTGAGATTGGACAAGCAGTTGCTGAGGAAAACGTGCCATCTGTTCAGGAACAGCTGCTTCTGACTGACACAGAGAAGACAGGTCACCAGGGGGTATAAGGCCTGAGAAGAAAGGAGCAGAGGTCACAGGGTGACTCACAACTCGGTAACCAGGAAACACACATTCCCTGCACCCAAGGCTTCATTACCTCCTCTGTGGCCGTGTGGCCCCAAATAAAAGCAATGCTGTATAAACACAAGAACTCATAAGTGCTTCCTGATAATGACTGGATAGAATCTTCTAGAACTCTGGCTAGGAATATACATACAGTAATATGTTTGCTTCGTGTACAACGATACAGAAAGCTGATTCACTAACTCGGTTTTCACTTACGCACTTTTAAAACAAACTTAGAATCTCAGATCGTACTCTCAGCCACCACAGAAATAAAACAACCATCCTGCTCATTCCTTTTGTCAATTTGACACAAATCAGAGTCATCTGGAAAGAGGAACCTCGCTGCAGTAACTGCCTCCACCAGATTGGCCTGTGGGTGCGTTTATGGGACATTGTCTTAATTGCTAATTAATACAGGAGGACACAGTCTACTGTGGGCAGGTCCTGGGCTATATAAGATAAGCAGGCTGAGCAAGCAGGCTACGGGGAGCAAGCCAGTAAACAGCACTCCTCCATGGCCTCTGCCTCAGTTCCTGCCTCCAGTTCCTGCTCTGGCTTCCGTCCATGAGGGATAATTACTCAAGGCAAAGAAACGCTTCTTTCCCCTAAGCTGCGTTTAGTCAGTGGTTTTTTTCACAGCAACAGAGAAGCAAACCAGAACAGCCCATGAAGGCATACTCCGTTTGAAAATGTTCTTGGCTTTTTCACTCAGAAATATCTAGCAGTTTGTCCCCATCTTAGAGGCAGATACACGTGTTTGCTTTCTCCTGCGATCTTCCGGCGATTAAGGGAGATTCCTGAAAGAGCTGTTATGGTCCCGGTAAACACTACCAAGACAAATGTAACCACAGCAGGACTTGGCTCCCGATGGAATAAACAGAGGTGCTACTGTGCTTTTCCTGCCTAACTGGGGCCCTTTCCCACAGCAACTGGAGAAGACAGCAAAGCTAACGCACACCCATCCAAAGACCGCGCACCCACCCAAAGACCGCGCACCCACGCACGCAGATCGCCATCGTTTTGCTTAACCAAGTAGCGCACACCTGGAGGGCTGGGGGAGATTTAAAGAGAAACACACCTGTTTGCTTGGACTAGCAAGAAACAATGGCCAATGGATGGGCTTCTCTGCACTTCAACTCAGCACTTTTCTTCTTCACATAAACGTAGTCCTAGAGTACTCTGGACTACTGTGCCCACTGAATACCTCTCTAATACCAGGCAATATATGCAAGCAGTTCGTCACAATGGCCACGGGGTACAGGCAAATGAGCAAAGTTGTGACAGCTACCAGCTGAACAGCTAGGTACCAGCTCCGACCCTGACAAGGATGCCCATGCTTTGGAGACCAGCATGGGCCAGTGCTGCGGCCAGCTCTTTAACGATGGACTTTCTTTACACTGCCATGATTACACCTGGCACACCCCTGGCGGTGTACCAGAGTTTATTTCACCACACAGCAACTTGAAATGCTGTATATTGCCTCCCCAAGAACTCCGAATCTTCAGAAACTCTGGGCCTGCAGGCAACTGCCTACACCCCTCCTCTCTTTCTTTATGTGTAAACTTTGATTCCGAGTGTTTAGATCGGAATTAGCTAGCACAGACTCACTCCTGCGAGGGAGAAGAGAAACCGTTGTTATAAACTTTAGATTAGAAAAACTTCTCAGAAACTCAAACAGAACCTCAGTTTAGCCAATCTCTAAAGTAAACGGCCAAGTCCATCGGACTAGAAGGTTCGTCTGAGGTGATGTGGTGTGATCCCCTTCTGTTACAGTGATTCATGGGTTTGTGCTAAACGCAAGCTCTGAAGACTGAGGCGCTGGGGCAATGCTCCCATGCTTTGGCCTCTTTTCAAGTCAGTTTCTTCCCAGGAGTTCCAGGCTCTCCACTTGGGACAGCGCTCGGCTTCTCCCGTGGTTTACTAACCAGGGAATGCTTTTTCCGAGAGGAGAGTTCCAACGTGGTGTCGTAGAGGCTCTCCACGAAGTTCCTGAGGCAGGGGACGTTGACTTCATTTTTCACAGCCTACAACAGAGACTCGTGTGAATGTTCGACTCAAGAAACTGCTGGGTGTGCCATCCTAGTTGAAGAAGTTGTTAGAAATAAAAACACAACTCACAGCAGCCACGGGGACGAGGATTTCCACAAAGAGCCCAGCCAAGGCATGCTTGACGTCCTTGTCTTTAACCTCCAGAAAATAATGGGCACATTCCTAGAGATCAGAAAACGAACACAGGAAGGAAACAGGCATTGAAATGTGCATTTGAACAAACCCAATTCTCCTGTGCTCGGACACAGCATATTCTGAGATCTATTAAAAGTCACCATATTCAAGGACTCACATGGGGTCTAAATGTTTGTGAGGACCCCAGTGGACCTTTCCAAGACTTGTTTTCTCTTTGTCTTCCTGTTTCTACTTAAAAAAAAAAAAAAAAGGCACCCAAAAGGACTAACAACCACACTTGTAGTCACAGGTCATTGGTTGGTCAGTCCACCCATCCATCCATCCATCCATCCATCCATCCATCCATCCATCCATCCGCCCACCCGTCCATCTGTCTGTCTGTCCATCCATCCATTTCCAACAGATTTCTATGGCTTCCTTAACCCTCCATGGGGTCCTGGGCCCTTGATCAGCCTACAAACAGAGATCCTAGGAGAGAGGCAGCCAATTCCAGTAAATTGCAGTCGGGTTCAGCGTCGGACAGCCTCCCTCCTACAAAACTGTTTACGTGCGGGCCTGGCATTCTAGGTGTGTTTATTATTCCCATCATGTCTTAAGCGGGTCTGGACAGCTTCCCTTCATGCAAGGAAACCTCTGGAACACTTCCCCACTTCCTTTGCCTTCTAGGGAGTGTATTTTGGTTCCCCAGGGACTCATTCTAGAGGAAGGTTGGCCTGCCAGCCTCTTCCTTGTGTTAGTGACTTCCTGTGGCTTAGATGATCACATGTTTGTGCCAATACCAACTTTCCTCCTTCGCTTTCAATCATTAGTAGGAATACTAGCGAAAAGAATTCCTAAGGTCTTCAGTACAGCGCCATACCGCCAAATCTCATCCCAGGTTGAATGATCTGTGCCTATGAAGTCTGTGAGACAGACGGACCATGGGGGATGGAGCCTCTGGGTCCTAGGATCTGGGTCCCCTGTTTTACATTATTTTGTACAGGTATATAAGTAATTCCCAAGTGGGTATTCAGGTATATAGACATGTGCATTGCTTTTTTTGTTTACTTTTTTGTGAGTGTGGTTTTTTGTCTGTTTGTTTTTGTTTGTTCCTAGATAAGGTTTCTCTGGGTAGCCCTGCTGTCCTGGAACTCGCTCTGTAGACCAGGCTGGCCTCGAACTCACAGAGATCCGCCTAGCTCTGACTCCCGAGTGCTGAGTGCTAGGACTCCTGGCGGATATGTGCATTGTTAACTGAGACTGGAATAAGACAATAGTTGACAGCCACTGAGTTCTGGTGACATCACCACTTGCAGACAAGGTAGCTGAGGCTGGAGTATGGGAGATGCTAAGGGAGCCTGGCCCTGAATCCAAACCCAGGAAGGTTGACGCACGCACGAGCAGTCACCCCTCCTTCGCCCACCCTACGGGTTAGCTTTATTGAGATATGGTTCTCACACCAATGCAACTCACTCCTTTAAAGTGTTTAATTCCTACTCTTATTCTCTATTTATAGTCATCTTCCCATTCTACAGTCAAACTTACACCGTTTTAATGAACCCGCCCCCAGGAAACCGAACTGTTTGGCTGTCTTTCAATCCCAGCATCCACTCTGGTCCTCCACCTAGGCAACCTAGGACTCTATGATATATTCTGCTTCCTGTGAACACTTCAGTGACATGGGTTCGTGTAGGACGCAGCCTTTTGCGTCTAGTGAAGAACCAGTCTCCATCCTAGGGCTGAAAGCCCTCTTACAGTAAAGGCAAACAAGACTCATCCTGTTTCTAATCGAATCTGTTTCTCAAGGACTGGGCTGTGTGCCACCTGTAACCTTAACTACACGTGGTTCTGTACTGCCTGTCCCAGGAGAGGCAACCATGCCTTTGTTTCAAAGAGTTAAGAAATCATCTTGCGGGGGCTGGAGAGATGGCTCAGCAGTTAAGAACACTGGTTGTTCTTCCAGAGGTCCTGAGTTCAGTTCCCAGCAACCACATGGTGGCTCACAACCATCTCTAAGGAGATCTGGTGCCCTCTTCTGGGCTGCAAGGATACATGCAGATATTACACTGTATAATAAATAAACCTTTAAAAAAAAAAAGAAAGAAAGAAAGAAAGAAAGAAAGAAAGAAAGAAAGAAAGAAAGAAAGAAAGAAAGAAAGAAAGAAAGAAATCATCTTGCAAGCCCTACCTGTGTTTCAGAAGGTTGTTATGATGACCTTGCTATGACTACCTTGTTATGGCCACCTTGCAATCATGTCTTTGTTTCAGGAGGTCGTTACGACTAAACTGTTGTACTTATGTTCTGCTCCTGTAACCCCACTTATTTTGCCCACCAAACCCCCCATTTGGGAGCCAGGTTCTTCCAGTGTGCTTGTTCTCTGGAACACACCCTTTTGATCAAGTTTTGCCTGTTGGAGTGGTGGTCTCTTGCGACCCTGCACTTACCTCTAACAGGAAGGCTAGCTGTACTGCATTCCCACGTGACTGGGCCGCTGGCTGCTCACACCGGCAGTGCAGGAGGATTCTAGCTCCCCCATGTCCTCACCCACAGCTGCTGTCTCTTTCTGACTGTGGCCTTTGGAACTAGGAAGCCAAAGCTGTACAGCCTGTATTCCTGATTCAACGTCTCAACTCTCTAGTAAGATCAGCACCAAATCACGAGACAGCAGCCATAGAGGAACCTCTTTAGATAGGGCAGTTTCCCTTCCTCTCTTAGGGAAACTTGCATCCTGCTAAATTCTCATAAGTAACACCACGATGAGCTAGTCGGGTATATCCGAAGTTAAGATTCCCGCTTATGGTACAGAGGAGACAGATTTCTTCATGGAAGTCCTTATGCTTGTGAACACCACTATGGCCAGCACAGCACTGCTGAGTAAATGACCAAAGAATCAGCTATGGTTTAACCGCAGAGTGATATGTATCAGTGGGTGAAGGAGAAAGGGAAAAGTCAACAACAAGAAATTCCATGGTGAAAAGAAAAAAAGAAAAAAGAAAAAGAAATTCCGTGGTGCGGCAACTCCCAAGGTGACTAGAAATTTGAAAAAGGAATTATGTTTTGGCAAATTCATTATTTGGTATCAAGGCATTTTGTGACTTACCTAGAAGGTAGAATATATATATATATATTCAACTGCAGACACTCTTTGATTTAATAATGGTATTTTGTACCAATACATTCAACCTAAGTGGAACATATCATAAAGGGAACTTTCTCTTAAATCCCTAATTTTCCACAGTAGCACAGTACACAGCACAGTCCTCGGTGGCTGTGTGGCTGACCTGGAAAATGCCATGACTGTCATGGCTCAGCATCACCAGAAGTTTAGACTACATCGTGCCAGCAAGCAAAAGACTCAAGTACAAAACGTGACCTGGGAGTCTGAGGCCGGAGGATTGCAAGTTTGAGGCCAGCCTGGTTAACCAAGAGATACAATGAAAACTTTAAAAGGTTCTGGGGTTGTAGTGTAGTGGAGGAGAGTTTGCTTAGCACGAGCGAGGCCCCGGATTCTACCCTCAATACTGCAAACGCTCTTTATAACGAGAAATACGGTTTCTATTGTGTGTGCATCATGCCGTAGCGCTGAGAAGTTTGAACATGCCTGTGTAGGGTTCTCACATTCCAGCTGCAGTATTTTGCTGGAAGGCACTCCACGAGGTAAGCAACTGTAGCTCAGGGACCTTACCTGCATAAATTGGAGGGACGCCTCGAAGTCCTCCACTGGGTACATCTTAATCCTGAAGAATTTCATCCCCATGATCAAGCTGATGATGCTCTGCACCACGTAGGGGCTCTGCTCTTTGTGCCGCAGCTCCTTCAACTCTGCCATGAACTTCTTCTTGACAGCCGGGAACCTAAGAACACAGGAAAGATTACCTACAGTCAAGAAAGTCACTATCATCAGGGCCTGCAGCATCCGAGACTGGGCAAAGTGACGGGCCCTCAACTCAGGTGCAGTGCAGTGGCCCTCAGACCATAAGGGCTTGACAGGGTCCAACTGGCTCCTTTTCTCCCATTGTTCAGTAAGAGGGTCCACATCCCTTCCCCTTTGTCAATAAGAGGGTCCACATCCATTCTCCTTTGTCAATAAGAGGGTCCACATCCCTTTCCCATTGTTCAATAAGAAGGTCCACATCCCTTCCCCTTTGTCAATAAGAGGGTCCACATCCCTTCCCCTTTGTCAATAAGAGGGTCCACATCCCTTTCCCATTGTTCAATAAGACGGTCCACATCCATTCCCCTTTGTCAATAAGACAGTCCACATCCATTCCCCTTTGTCAATAAGAGGGTCCACATCCCTTCCCCTTTGTCAATGAGACGGTCCACATCCCTTCCCCTTTGTCAATGAGACGGTCCACATCCCTTCCCCTTTGTCAAT